TAAAATAATAATATGTCAACAACATGTCAACAAGCCCTTGTACTATTACTATATAATAATAATATAGTAATAGTAGAAGGGCTTGTTGACATGTTGTTGACATATTCTTGACAGTGAATGTAACAGAATTTAACCTTGTAACTTCGTAACTTTATAACTTTGTAACTTCGTAACAAACTTGTAACGCTATTTCCATAACAGGCTCTCATTGCCTGCTGTATCAACTCAATCTTGCATGCCTTCTTATTCGCTAAGAAGCTCGAACTATGTGATCTCGAAGCGTCAAGGCGTTGTTTTTACGCCAAAAACAAACCAAACAAACTGCGATTAACGGAAAAGGATCGCCGCTTCGCCGCTCGATAATATAGCAAGCAAAAGAATAAAAGACTCTAATAAAGATCACTCAATGTGCGATCGAACAGACGACACAAATATTCTTCGGTTGCTCTTCTCGTCAATAAAGTATAAGATAATTATATACGGCAAATTAATCTGCATATCGGTCAAGAAAGCGAACGTTCAAGTGATATTCCTATCGGAATTAAACCGATGATCTTTAAGTCACTCAGTAAGATGTTGGTACGAGGAACTTATAAGCAGATCGCAAAAGCCGTATGGACTGAAATCCCTCGTTCGAACGACCTCTAACATCTATTACCAAAACATTCCATATTCAGTTTAGGACTAGTTCGAGCTTCTTAGCGAATAAGAACGCACGTAAGATTGAGTTGATATAGCAGCCAATGAAGGCCTGTTATATATAACCGTGCAACTCGGCTGGTGGTATAGAACATGAATTTTTGCGGTAATTCGCAGACGGTTATTTTGGCGAAATAAACCGGATGTAGCGCAGGCTCGTGTAAATCTTCCTGCGACACCGACGACTTGCTAGACTTGCTACTTTGGGTTCATTGAATCTTATAGTTTTTTGTCATCAAAAAAGTTTAAAGTTTAAGTTAAAATTAAGTATCTCATGATCACAGCAATCTATATTTCTAACATTTTTAAAGTGCGGCTACGACGAAATCCGTACATTTTCTTCTGACCACTGTTTTCGCTAATATACACAATATATATTAACTTACCAAGGCCGTTTTGCATTTGGATGAATAGAAGGACTTCAAATTTGTCATTATTTCGAGTAATTTTCGAGCCGCCATTAATTTGAACTGATCTGACCACAATCCTTTGCAATCGAAGTTCAAAGCGGAAGTGATGTCACTGACTTAACCCACGAACGAGGCTACACTCACATGGCTAAGAAAATGTATACAAACATAGCGACATTTCTACAACAACGTAGGTTTTTAGATATGGAAAC